CAAACGCGTGGGTGCCCTTTGGGGGGGGGGGAGGGTCCCCCCAGATGCCTGGGTGCCCTTTGGGGGTGGGGAGGGTCCCCCAAACACGTGGGTACCCTTTGGAGGGGGGTAAGGATCCCCCCAAACTCGTGGGTGCCCTTTGGGGATGGGGAAGGGTCCCCCCAAACATGTGGTTCCCCTTTGGGGGTGGGAAGGGTCCCCCAAACATCTGGGTGCCCTTTGGGGGGGGGGAGGGGCCCCCCCAAACACATGGGTGCCCTTTGGGGGCGGGGTAAGGATCCCCCCAAACACCTGGGTGCCCTTTGGGGGTGGGGAAGGGTCCCCCCAAACACGTGGGTGCTCTTTGGGGGTGGGGAAGGGCCCCCCCAAACACCTGGGTCCCCTTTGGGGGTGGGGAAGGGCCCCCCCAAACACCTGGGTGCCCTTTGGGGGCGGGGTAAGGATCCCCCCAAACACCTGGGTGCCCTTTGGGGGTGGGGAGGGGCCCCCCAAACACCTGGGTGCCCTGTGGGGGTGGGGATATGTTGAGTGATTATATTTAATTGTAATACTTAATAGCCATTTGGTTTATGTCTGTCTACATACACGTGTGTGTACATCTTATTTATTATATAAACACACACATACCTCTTCCTGCAGTGCTGAGTGTTGCCACAGTCCAAGGTGGCTTAGCAGCTAATGGCAAGCCAGCCCCTTCCTTCGAGTGCTACCAACGGCTCTGGTTGCTCCAGCCTTTGGCGCGTGGTGGGCGCGTTGCCTCTGCTGTGGGCGTCTCATGCTCCAGAGCCACTGGCCCCATCCCTGGTGGCCCACGTGAAGCTGTTGAGTTTCTCCTTCCAGTGGAACAAAACAGAGCTTCAGTTTATGGGTGGGTGTGGCAGATGGGCGTGGTCTGTTGAGGCCCCGCCCCTTTTCCCCCTCCCCAGGAAGCAGTGCATCGAGCTGGAGCAGCAATTTGATTTCCTGAAGGACCTGGTGGCCGCCGTCCCCGACATGCAGGGGGAGGGGGAGGAGCCCCACGGCGAGGGAGAGAGGGGACCCCGAAGGTGGGTCGGATGCCTGGGTGTCCCCCCAAAATGCTGGGGTCCCCCCTGGATGCCTGGGTCCCCCAAAAATGCTCTGTCCCCCCCCAAATGCTGGGGTTCACTCCCTGAACACCTGGGTCCCCTCCCTGACACCTGGGTCCTCTCCTTGCTTCCTGGGGGTCCCGATGTGGGTGCCACAGGGATACGAGAGGGGGGGTGTCCC